CAATTGGTACTTCGCACAATGGTCAGTCTGTAAGGAAAATCACGATACCACCTACCCCAACCTAGAGGCACAATCGATTCAAATTAAAGAAAGGTAGACTTTCTTCAAAATGACGTATTAGTAAAAACTCACATCCAAGTTCTTGAGCAGCACTTGCTCTATGATTGCAGTGTATATTGCAGAATCCACCAAAGCAGCTTCGTACTGATTCGAATAAATGAGTCTTTGGAAGAGTAGGTGGCACCAAACACCAGTGGATGCAATCTGAAAATAGCCCTTTATTGGAAGTTTCAGCTTATAATTAGAGTGGGTAACTTTGAAAAGTTCTTGGTTCGAATGACCACCTCTTTCGAAACAACAAATAAAACACGTCGTTCGATGGAACTAACCCGCAAAGACCCACCTTATTTGGTGGTAAAAAAAGCCTTTTTTCAAAAACAACATTTAGAAGGCAAAACATAGTAGAAGAACTAACATTATCCCTCAAAAAAGGCAGACATTCGGCATATCGTGCAAATCCACGTATATCGCCAATTCGTTTTTTGCTGGGAAGCATATCAATGCAACAATGATACCACAGCAGTGAAGCAAGGCGACTGGCCTGAAACGTACGAGATAGTTTAGGAGCCATTTATCATATTACTTGGTAAAGCAACGAAATAGAACGGATAATCCGCACACCTTCAAAAATGTAATTAACCGGTCGGACGGTTTGGAGAGGTAGTTGCTAACAACGAATTCTTCTCCAAGATCACCTAAAGAGTAAGTAGTACTGCCTCTGAGTAAAAAGTACAAGTAAAACAAAAACAACAATACTGCGAGTAGATACACTGACTGTTCGTACGCATAAGTTCCGCTCTGATGCAGTCTTCGACCATCAAAGAAGTGAATTCAGGGAGGAATTTAGTTATGAAAATAGGATCTACCACTTCGGTAGGGAGGACCTTCTTCAGTGCGAGATCCTATAAAATAAGCACTTGACAGATTATAAGCTGTCACCACTATATCACCTATTGGTACAGAACGGAAACTTTTTCT